TATATATATATATAAATATATAACAGATTGATGTGAATGGCAATATGGCATAGACGTGTCAACTCCCTGTACACCTAAAGATACCTTGTTTGCCATGTAACTACTCAAGCCTCTAGATTTGGAAGTATTGTTATTTGAATTTTCTCTTAAATTCATAAAAACGAAAAACAATTAGATTTTTTTTTAAACATAATTAATACCATTGATTTCATTTATGAATATAATTCGTACTTAATAAAAATACAAAACAATTAAATTAAATGTTAACTTTATTTTTGAAAAGGATTTCATATTAATTGAATGTGTTAGTACTAAGTTATCACACCACAAGTAATCGTCTTTAATCATCTTGCATTCATCATCTAAAAATGGAGAAGAAGTAACTTAAAATGAGCTAACGTTCAGTAAGCAAGCATCATGCATATGATACATGCTTATAATATGCGTATGAGTTATTTTAGAATAGATAGTTTTTCTCAATTTCTTTTAAAAAAAAAAAAAAAAACTTTAACATCAACATTAGCATTTGAGTAATATTATTCAACACCATCAATGTTGACACCAATCTAAGTGGCAAACACATAACATTAAATTATTGATTCATTTATATGCAAAGTCATACTCATTTAATTGAATCTATAAAATGTAGTCACATAAACTGGTGTTCTGCCATCAATGGTGCTAAATACCATTATCCTTAGCATTTGAATAATACTATGTAGCCCTACTAAGGTTGCAACCCCAGTTTGGATAACATTGATGTGACATTAAATAACAAGTAGAATTAAATGACTAATTTAATTTCACATTTCATTTAACTTATCATCTAGTGACGTCTTAATTGGGTTGCAACCCTAGTGGAGTTAAATAGCATTGGTTTTAGCCCATGTTTGAATTTCATTAAATTACATTTCATTTTTCTCTTTTCTGTTTTTAACCGCACAATCTTTTAAAAAATAATATTACACGTAAATCGAAAACTTTTTATTCTTTTTTCAACCACTCATTTAAAAAAAAAATTATTTCACTCATTTTCATTTTTAAAAAATGGGGGTCAAACGAGAGCTCAGCTTTTTATGTTTAAAGAGATTTTTGGAGATACTCAGCATTTTATTGGCCCAATAAAATGTCCTCTATTTTAAAAAATTAACTCTTAAAATTATGTTTCAAAAAACTCTTTAAATTTAACATTTTAAAATAGAGACTGGGTTTGACTCTCCAATTTTGAAGAGCCAAAACCCACCATCTATCATTGAATACATTTACAGTATTTTATTTTTCAATGGAAGAAAATAATATAATAACTTGGTGAAAAGCGAGTAAAGATAAAAAGATAGGAAAATAATAAATATTTTTTAGTGTTATAAATTAAGTATTAAATACAAAGAGATTATTGAAGTACTTAAAAAATTTTGTTCATTAAATTTATATATACTCTTTAAATTGTAGAATATGCTTTTTAAAAATCGAGAGACTTTTGGAAATATTCTAACCACGTTAAATTATAAAAACATATACATACACAATTATATACTTATGGCGACTCACAGGATTTAATAAACGTTGCATGAATTCCTTGTAATATGAAAAATAAAACTAGCCAGTCAATTGTTAATTAAAATTAGTAGAACTTCTATATATTTGAAGAAACCTCTAGCAAATAGCACATACGAAATATAAAGGAATGGAACGTTTTGGAGTTGAACTTGCTTCCTCTGGAGGGATAAATATTCACTTTTACTTTTTGAAGGAAGGAGAAAAATTAGGTCTAAATTTATCTATATACTTTTAGGGCCCTATTGTTTTAGGGCCATGATTATACTATGGACAACTTATAAAAATACCCCTAAATTTAGTGATCCGTTGAAAAGTCATAGAAAATGTATTTTGAAAGTAAAAAATAACATGTAAAATAAGTGTCACTTTTATTTTAAAAAAATGATATTTGTCACTTAAAAAAGTGATAGAAATTAAAAAAAATTAGTGATAAATGCTCAAAAAAGTTACGAGCAGATAAAACATTGAAATCAATTCAATAAAGTGACTAAAATTTTCATTTAAATCCGTTATTATCTCGAGCGTACACCAACATTTTGAGAGATTATTAAATCTCAATCCTACAAAAAGAAAAAAAATAAAGTCATACACTCAAAAAATTGACCAAAAAAAGGTGACAAAATATCAATTAAAACCTATACTTGTCACTCAAAAAAATGATAAAAATTTTAAAAAATTAACAAATAATAATAAAAATAACAAGAATTTCGAAAAAGTGACACAAAACGCCAATCAAAATATATGTTTTGTCACTAAAAAAAGTGAAATTTTTTTTTAAAAAGTGACAAACACTGAAAAAGTGACAAAACATCAATCAAAACAATGTTTGTCACTCAAAAAAGTGACAGAAAATTTTAAAAAAATGACAAACACAGAAAAAGTGACAAAACATCAATCAAAACGATGTTTGTCACTCAAAAAAGTGACAGAAGATTTTAAAAAAATGACAAACACAGAAAAAGTGACAAAACATCAATCAAAACGATGTTTGTCACTCAAAAAAGTGACAAAAAATTTTTAAAAAATGACAAACATAGAAAAAGTGATAAAACATCAATCAAAACGATGTTTGTCACTCAAAAAAGTGACAGAAAATTTTAAAAAGTGATCAATGATAAAAAAAAAAAAAAAGTGAGAAAATTTTTAAAAATATGATAGAAAATTTAAAAAAAAAATGACAAGCACTATTAAGGGTCTGTTTGATTCTCATTCTTTGACCACAAAAATAAAAAATATAATCGTTATTCATTACATAAAATTATCATATTTGACATTTTATCTCTTGTGTGGGTCCCATAACGACCATATCTTTTATTCTCATTTAAAAAAAAAAAAAAAAGGAATCAAACGGGCTCTAAAAAATGATATTTTGTCATTTTTTAAAGTTAAGTATCATTTTTTTTTAATTAAAAACTTCATATAAGATCACATTTATTAAAAAATGATGTTTATTACTTAAAAGCAAAACAAAATGAAGTAGCTAACATTTAAAATCATAGCCAAACATACTTACAGAAAATAAGTCAAACACACTCTGTTATCTTTCTTTATTAACTTATTGTATCATATCGCTACGTCCAAAATCGACAACAAACCACCATCCAAATTGAAACAATAAAGAAACACGAGAAAACATTTGCATCATTTTTATGAATTTTGTTGCTCTCTCTGCATCCATAGAATATTCATTTACTTTTTCTTTTTCCCGAAAATAAGAAACAACAAAAACAAATAATTAAATAAAGAGAAGACCTCAATAAATATATTCAATTTATGCTTCAAGGAAAAATATTCAAACAGAAAAAAACGCAATGTATCTAAACATGGATAATGAGATTGACGTCCTTATTGTCAGCTTTTTTCCCTACATTATTGGTAAAACACTTTACATGTGATGCGAACCCGCTTATCAATTATAGTTACGAAACTTACGAAAAATTAGATGAAATTCAAACAAGTCAGGAATCAATGTTTGAACAACTCGTCCCAATAAATTATTGGACCAAATAACCAAGACAATTGCAAATAATAGCTTGATCATAAAAACTTACAAACCTCACTTGAATTGTTGAATATCACAAGAATTTAAATTCGAGTTCAGAATTAATTCGATTAAGAACAAGTTGAAAGCAACATGCCTCGCAATGATATCTCTCAAATTGCGCGTTTTACAATGAAGAGGATAAGTCTATTTATAGGGAGCTCATAAAAACCTAATTAAAAATGGAATTATGCCTAACAGATATCAAAGAGATACTGTAAAAATAGTTCTAACTAAAAAAGAAGTCTAGGCAAAATTTGAAAAATTGCGTTCCAGTTTTGTACTATGCAGCAACAGAGGTGTAAAACACGTGGTTGCATGGGCCTTTCTTCAACCTTCACTAATGCATCATCATAAATTCCACTACCCACTTCATTTTCACCACCAAAATTCGCTCTAGGCTCCCCCTTACCATACTTCCTTGCATTAGGAACTTCTCTAAATTGTTCCCTACGTAAATTAACAAGCAATATATCTTCCCTCTCCATCTATGCCCATTGCCTATCCACCTATCTCCAAACAACATTTCAAATCGTCCTATCATCTCCTCCGTCATAATGACTTGATTATTCTTCTCATTTGAAGTAAAATTGTCTTTGTCAGACATTCTAAATCGAAAATAATATTTGTCTCACGTGTGTACACTCATTATCATTCAATCTGACTTTTCTCTCTATTATTCTCACCACTTCACCTTTTTCCACTCCATGCTTCCTTGCAAGCGCTTCAAAGAATTAATTTAACCTCAATCAAAATTCAATCCTCATGGAGTTCAAACAAAGAATTGAGTAAGGAAAATTAATTCTAGAATGACTCAAAAAAGTAGGAATTGGCACTTTGAGCGGAACACTAAGGATTTAAGAATGTGCTTTTTGAATTCGAATTGTACACTTTTGACTTCTTTTACTAAACGTGCTTGAATTCAACAAAGATCCCAAAAAATCGAAAAGGAATTTATTTGAGCACTAATTTGGCGTATAGACAACTTTTGAATTTTTTCGATAATTGAATTGAATTGAATGACTCAAATATGAAAAACATGAAGAACGAACACAACAAAAGAATTAAAGCATATGAACTTGATTTTTTGAAGACAAGCTCTGATACTAACTGATGTGAACTCACGTAGTAATAATAGCTCTGAAACCAACAAAAAATTAAATCACAACAAAAAAAGCTAACATCCCGATTTGAAGCTTGACCCAATAATTTATTGAATTAAGAAACTAAAGTTATAAAGGAACTTGACCTCTTAATCATAAAAATTATGAACCTTGCTATGAAATTGTTGAACGCTACAAAGACTATAAATCTTTGATAAGTTCGGATAGTTTGAATGGCACATATTGAAAATATTTGATAAGTTCTATTCAATTAAGAACAAAATAGAAAGTGAAAATTTTCATATTATGATTCATTCTAAAAAACTTAACGTCTTTATTATACAAGGAATGTGCTTGTTATAGGCATAAAATAAACACATAATCAAAACAAAACTCTACTTCTAAAGACAAATCCAAATAAATTAGAAAATTATATAACAAATTTGAATAAAACTAAAATATTACAAATAACGAAAATACCCTTAAACTAATTCAAAAAAAAAAACGCAAAAATGAATCCCTAAACAATCGAATTTGACCTTCGAAGTTTGATAAAGTCACTAAAAACTTTGTGCAGAATCGAAAGACATTTTCGGGTTGTACTCAGGGCGAAATCCGACAATCGAGCTGAAAATTATACACATTTTGTACTTCCTGTGCGTTTTCGCACATACTTCATAGCCCTTCCATCTAATTGGTTTATGACTCTCTCTTCTAATTGATCTGTATCACTCTAAAACTTACAATAGATCCTTGTTAGCTTGCCCTCCATGATTCTCATCAATATGGATGATGAATTTTCATAAATTGTGCATATAACTATATACCAAATATCATAAGGTTTTGCACAAAAAGAGAGTTCTAGAAAATAATGCGACGAAGTATATTTGGTAAACCTCCAAAGTCTAATAAGATCGGAGGCAGCGCTAGTTGGAATGGCGATGTAATAGCGGCGAGTAGATTAGGGTATGATTGAGGATGAATCTAATTTGGTCTCACATGGGCTTAATATATACAACAATTTAGTGGATGAAATAGTACTCCACTTTTTTAGTTTCATCCTTTTGCTGCTTTCGAATTCCACCAAGTTCGGAAGGCAGTAATCATTGAATTTCTGTTTGTCATTTTCATTTGATTGGAGGTTAAAATGCCTCAGATTTAACATCTTTTTACACGTATTTGATCTGACTGGCATCCACTTCATCAGAGCCGGACCTGATGGGAGGTCCAAGAGGCCTCTGCCTCAGGCCCAGAATTTTAGGGGGTCCATTTTTTACTTTTTACCCTCCCTTTTTTTAACCCACTATGCCCATGTGTTCAAAAGAAACGAATAAACACTTTAATGAAAAGAGAAGGAAGGAATATCAAAAAATTTATTTGTTATTTTATTGTTGATTTAAGTTAACAAATTTAATTCCGTAAACTTCTAATTTTTTGTTTTATTTTTTTAAAAAATGGATTATTTGCTACGACTTAGGGCTTAGGGCCCAAATTCCGAAATTCGCCTCAGACCTCGCAAAGCACAGGTACGGCCTTACTCTTCATGCATGTTACAACCCATTTTATCTAGTCAAAAGTCAAAAGTTGAATTTTCAAAGTCAAAGTCAAACGAGAACTTTAATGAGGTAACTTATTTTATTGGGGTTTCTTTTACAAATTGACAATACTTGAGGGTTTAACATGGACATCGTTTAGATTTGATGATTTATTTTACAAGTACGGAAGGTTAATGACAAGTGTTATGCTAAAATTAAGTTGAGGGACTACCTTTGCAATAATAGGTTAAGTGGAGTCCAAGTGTCAATTTTAAAACCTTTTATCCCATTTTCATTTGTATAACGGAGATATAGAGAGCTGAGAACGGGAGAGGCTGGAAAAAGAAATCGAGAATGGGAAGGAAGAAAAAGAAGAAAAGAAAGGAAAGGAAGAAGTTGATGACTTTTGCAAGTTTGGGTGCTTCATTTCTTCAATTTATGTTTCTTTTAAAGAGGTATGTTAATTAAATTTCTAGGGTTTATGAACAATTCATTTATATTCGAAGTTTAGCAAGAATTAGAGATTATTAATATGTATTTGAGGTATTAAACAATAGTATATCAATGAAATGTATAAAGGAAGATTGATGTTGTAGAAACTGAAATTTTGAAAATGGGTTTATGAAATGGATACCTATTCTTTGTTTTTCTTGTGATTATATTGTGTCAACCACTTAATTTAAGGACATGAGGTTTGATTTCTCCATTTTAAACAATTTTAAGCTATTTTTGAGCAATTTTAATAATCAGGTGCTGATTTTGTAATTTTGCCCAGAAAAGTGCCATTTCTGTCAACTGTTTTGGTGATAATTTTCAGTTTATAGAAATTGGTTTTACAATTCCATATTGTGGTATTTTAGTGTTGTTTGTATCTAACATTTGATTTTCACATTTTAAAGGCTTTGAATTTGTATTAATTTAATTGTCAAATATTAATTTGAGGAATTATATCATTATTTCAGGTAGGACGTGAAAATTTGGAAAGGCTCGTCAATTAAATCAAGTTTCCATACATAGTTCCGTGAGTGGAGAACCTACTTTTCCAAAAAGAAGATTTCCTTTTTATTTTATAGAAGCATATTAATTACTTGAAATGTCTTATTTTCGAGAAATTAGTAAATGAGCATTATTGTTTTAAAATCATCAGAAAATAACTGATGTAATTATCTTACTCTTGTACACTGAGGGGCTACGACCGTGTACTAGAGTCATGTATTTAACTCCTATACACCGAGGGGCTACGATCGTGTATAAGGATGATTATGTTATTTTCATCTTGTACACTGAGGGCTACGGTCGTGTACTATAGTCATGTATTTAATTCCTATACACTGAGGGGCTACGACCGTGTATAAGGAAGATTATATTATTTCCATCTTGTACACTAAGGGGCTACAACCGTGTACTAGAATCATGTATTTAACTCCTATACATTGAGGGGTTTCGGCCGTGTATAAGGATGATTATGTTATTTCCATCTTGTGCATTGAGGTGCTACGGCCGTGTACATGGTATTGATCAGAAGGTTTATGTGCATATGATTTTATAGCTTTCAGATCATTAGTAGATGTTTACATGAGATATATTTTGATGTGAATTTTAAGTATATAGTGGATTATTAGTTTTCAGCTTACATTTCCCCGTTTATAATTCTACTTACGAATTTCAGAATTTCTAGAAGTTTTAGTAGTGCAAGAATTTTCAGAATATATGCATAAGAGAAAAAGTATATTTATTTGTAAATTATCCACTCGCTGAGCTGTAAGCTCATATTTCTTTTCACCTTTTTCTTTAACAGATAATAGTCGAGTTGAGCATTGTTGGAGCCTATAGATCTACTAGATTGGGCCACACGTCATTAGTTGTATGACCTATTTTATCAGATTAGGTAGTATCTGTTTCTTAGGTTACATGTACATTATGTTAGAAGAGGTTGTCATGAGATCACTACATGGTATATTTAGTATATTTGAGAATTGTTGATGGTAAAGCAAGTAAATATTGAATTGTCAACAAATTATTTGTATAGTTTTGATTTTGAGGGACTAGTGTACCTTGTTTTACATTATATGTATTGATTTGAGGAAATCTATTATGGATCAGGTGGATTTAGTCCATATTTTAGAGGAGCCTCTGTCATAATTTTGTTAAAAATATTTTTTAATCAAATAAGTCAAAGTTGCTTTGGCGGTGGGTCTGACGTTTAGTTGGTGTCTACATCGATGCACGACATGTGTCGAGTCCATTAAGATGATTTGGGACGGATCGTATCAATGAATGTATTTTTTATTAGCTTGCCCACCTTGTGAATGTAAAGTTTCAATAATTGTAATTTCAGTTTCTTAGTAATTTTTTCTGCAACTGACTTTTTTTTTATTTTATTTTTTTAGCTATTTCCTGTTTTAGGCCAGATGGGACCAAGAAGGCATATGTTCGTTTAACGCCTGATTATGATGCTCGGGGTGTAGCTAACAAAATTGGGATAATCTAAGTAATTGTCTCTTCACTTTTGAGGTTATAGTTGAAGGATTGAACTTTAGATGTTCTGGCTTTTGTGGAACCAAATTAATTTTTGTTTATTTGTTTTGATGTTCAGAGATGGTTTATTGCTTAGTAATATTATACCTAGATATCCCACAATAACATTGGAATTAAGACCATTTTTTCTTCCAGGACGCAGGAACTAATTACAGTACCAAAAGTGTATTCCAGGTTTATAGAGATGGAAATTTGGGAACTTGAGTTAATAATGGAGTTTGAATTATCTCGATGGTTTGGTGATGGGATAGTTTTAGGAAGTTTATAGTCAAGCTCCTTTAGATAGCACTTCTTCAAATGTGCAGCAAAGTACATTTAGTGGAAACAGAAGCTTAGATACCCAGCGTGCACACACATTACGCTAAATTCTTTTTTTAGATTGTCCCAAATCATAAAGATTTGACAAAATTAGAACATAAATATATATATATCCAAAACTATTGGGCTGCATTGCTTCTGGATAATCCAAAACCAGAGTGGTCAAAAAAAATTACGAGATAAAAGATGACTGCATAATTGCTATATAAAATATTTCTTAATTTTGAAATGGACCGTATCTCTTGTTAAAACGGCCCACTTTGATGATTTCATGAAGGATGGTGATGGAGTATAATGTAAAGGAAGTAGCATCTGAATTTCCAAATGCCAATGATTTCTCTAAAATATCAAAGAGAACCGCACGTACGGTTCTCCATTTTTTTTTTATTTTAAATTGTTTCAAGAACCTTCTTCATTTTCCATTTTTCTTTATTTAAAATATTCACAAGAACCGCACGTATGGTTCTTTCTTCATTTTTTTATTTTAAAAAATGTACCGAGAATCGCACGTACGGTTCTCTCTTTTCCATTTTTCTTTATTTTAATATGTTTGAGAAGTGCATGTAGGGTTCTCTATTTTTCATTTTTCTTTATCTGATAAACTTCTAATAATTCATTTCGGATGCAATATATTAAGTATTTATTAAAATTTTAACATTTAAAGATTTTCGACTTGCGATCATGGAAATTAGAATTGTTTATTTAGATAGTCTGCGAATTCAATTAGTTGAATCGCACGTATGGTTAATCCATTTTCATTTTTCCACAAATAAATGTCTAGAAATTTATTTCAAGAGAATTTGATGTCTTGATGTAACATGTGACGGTTATATTTTTTTCATTTTTATGGTCAAAGAATGCAACAAACGGTGGTTAAATATATTTGTAATTTTCCTCTTTTTTTTTATTAAGTAAAATTGAAATCTCGAAAATATCAAAGAGAACCGCACTTACTGTTCTTAATTTTCCATTTTTCTTTATTTTAAATTGTTTCGAGAACCTTCTCCATTTTCTATTTTTCTTTCTTTTAAAATAGTCAAAAGAACCGCACGTATGGTTCTTTCTTCATTTCGAGAACCGCACGTATGGTTCTCTCTATTCCATTTTTCTTTATTTTAAAATGTTTGAGAACCGCACGTAGGGTTCTCTATTTTCCATTTTTCTTCATCTGATAAACTTCTAATAATTCATTTCCAATGCAATATATATTAAGTATTTATTAAAATTTTAACATTTAAGTATTTTTCAACTTGCGATCATGAAAATAAAAATTGTTTATTTAGATAATCTGCGAACTCAATCAGTTGAATCGCACGTACGATTAATCCATTTTCATTTTTCCACAAATAAATGCTTAAAAATTTATTTCAAGAGAATTTGATGTCTTAATGTAACATGTGACAGTTATATTTTTTTTCATTTTTATGGTCAAAGAATGTAACAAACGGTGGTTAAATATATTTGTAATTTTTCATTTTTAATTAAGTAAAATTGATATTCTTGAAAATATCAAAGAGAACCGCACGTACGGTTCTCTATTTTTCATTTTTCTTTATTTTAAATTGTTTTGAGAACCTTCTCCATTTTCTATTTATCTTTATTTTAAAATATTCACAAGAACCGCACGTATGGTTCTTTCTTCATTTCTTTATTTAAAATTGTTCAGAGAACCGCACGTACGGTTCTCTCTTTTCCATTTTTCTTTATTTTAAAATGTTTGAAAACCGCGCGTAGGGTTCTCTATTTTCCATTTTTCTTTATCTGATAAACATAAAATTCATTTCCAATGCAATATATTAAGTATTTATTAAAATTTTAACATTTAAGTATTTTTCGACTTGCGAACATGGAAATAAGAATTGTTTATTTAGATAGTTTGTGAACTCAATCAGTTGAATCACACGTACCTTTAATCGATTTTCATTTTTTTCCAAATAAATGTCTAAAAATTTATTTCAAGAGAATTTGATGTCTTGATGTAACATGTGACGGTTATATTTTTTTCATTTTTATGGTCAAAGAATGGGAAACAAACGGTGGTGAAAATATATTTGTAATTTTCCATTTTTGATTAAGTAAAGTTGTAATTTTCGAAAATATCAAAGAGAACAGCACGTATGGTTCTCAATTTTCCATTTTTCTTCATTTGATAAATTTCTAATAATTCATTTCCAATGCAATATATTAAGTATTTATTAAAATTTTAACATTTAAGTATTTTTCGATTTGCGATCATGGAAATAAGAATTGCTTATTTAGATAGCCCGCAAACTCAATCAGTTGAATCGCACGTACGGTTAACCCATATTCATTTTTCCAAAAATAAATGTCTAAAAATTTATTTCAAGAGAATAGGATGTCTTGTTGTAAAGTGTAACGGATAGATTTTTTCATTTTTATGGTCAAAGAATGGGAAACAAACGACGGTGAAAATATATTTGTAATTTTTCATTTATGATTACGTAAAATTGTAATTTTCGAAAAACTGCACGTATGGTTCTTTCTTCATTTTAAAATATTCAAAGAGAATCGCACGTATTGTTCTCCATTTCTTTTTTCCATTATTTTTAAAACACCTTTTTTCGCTGATAAATTTCTCCATTTCTTATTTTAAAATATTGAGGAGAACTGCTCGTAGGGTTCTCTTTTTTCCATTTTTTTAAATAGATTTTTCTGCCGATAAATTTCTAATAATTCATTTCCAATACAAACTAATTTATGTTAAGTATTTATTAAAATTTATAACATTTAAGTATTTTTCGACTTGCGGTCATGGAAATAAGAATTGTTTATTTAGATATTCTGAAAACTCAATCAATTGAATCGTACATACTGTTAATCTATCCACAAATAAATGTCCAAAATCTTGATGTAAAATATAATGGTTATATTTTTTCATTTTTATGGTCAAAGAATAGGAATCAAACTGTGGTTAAATATATTTGTAATTTTTCATTTTTGATTAAATGTACGGATAACCGCACGTAAGGGTCTCTTTTTTCCATTTTTTAAACACATTTTTCCACTGATTAATTTCTAATAATTCATTTCCAATGCAAACTAATTTATTTATTAAGTATTTATTAAAATTTTAACATTTAAGTATTTTTCTAATTGCGATCATGGAAATAAGAATTGTTTATTTAGATAGTCTAGGAACTCAATCAATTGAATCGCACGTACGATTAATCTATATTCATTTTTCCACGAATAAATGTCTTGAAATTTATTTCAAGAGAATATAATGTCTTGATTTAACATGTAACAGTTATATTTTTTCATTTTTATGGTCAAAGAATGGAAAACAAACGGTGGTTAAATTTATTTGTAATTTTCTATTTTTGATTAAATAAAATTGAAAAATAAGAATGGAAATCAAATCTAGGTTCTCTATTTTCCAATTTAATTAAACATATTTTCCCCTGATAAATTTCTAATAATTTATTTCCAATAACGCAGCTAATAATTTTAATTTATTTATTAAAATTTTAACATTTAACTATTTTTCAATTTGCGGTCATGAAAATAAGAATTGTTTATTTAGATAGTCACGGAACTGAATATGATCGTTATTTTTCATTTTCTTTTAATTGAAAAATAGCAAATTTCCATTTAGGCTGAATCCATCCCAATTTGTATTTAAAAAATAAATAAAATTAAATCAATCTTGTATCATTTTTAACCCTAATCTAAGGCCCTGTTTGGCCCCAATTTTAAAAATTCATTTTTCTCAACCTCATTTTTTATCATATATTTTATGAAATTTATGATTTTTATCAATTTTTCGGCCATGTATTTCATTAATTTTATCAAAATTTATGGAAAAAAATCTGAATTTTAGTCAAACAAAATAAATACTACAATTAAACTCAAAACTTCGGGGGTTCAGTAACAATCCTGTGTCCCAGAACCATGAAGCCAATTTTTAAAGACCAGAACAGACCGCGTTCAATTAACGACATCAGCTGTTTCAATTCTTTCCTAACAGTTCTTGACTTCATTAGTCTACTTTTTCCTTCAATTCGCCGATGCCAATGGCAATAGCCGCCGCCATAACGCTGCCGTTCACCACCGTTTGCCGACGCTCCCTTTCCTGTTCTTCTTTCAGTTCCTTCCGATCCTCTTCTTCGCTTTTCCTTCAGTCAGACACTCACCAACCGCTTCCAATTTCCGCTGTTCGAAAACCTAATTCCCGCATTTTTGCTTCAATGAGCATCGAGGCTCCTGAGAAGTTTTCTCCCGATTCATTTCTAGATCGTAGAGAAAGTGGTATTCTTCACTTTGTCAAGTATCACGGACTCGGAAATGATTTCATATTGGTAAGTTTTGCATATCCTGTATATTTGTGTGTGTATGTATTTACATTTATCTTCGTTTACTTGTATGTATAAATTCAGTTCGACTATTATGGGAAACTCCGATAAATTGACAAAATGGGATTTTTGTTTTTAAGCTGGACTGTTTCAGGTTTTCTACATACTAAAAAAAAAAAAAAAAAAATTCTAGCTTTTGATTTTTAAAGCTTCTTTTGAGGGAAAGCACTGGGTTTTTCAAACTTCGAGATATGAGAATCTTTCTACCGTGATTAAACATAGAACATTCCGTATGTCTTGCTTTCAAGATTGACATTGGTAAATTTTTTGTTTAAGATCCGTCAAAATTAGCTGAAATTTTAGAGTTAAGCATAAAAGTGAGTTATTCTGTTATTTTTTCCTCTCTTAAACACCTTTTAAGTTCTATATTTAGACATGTAAACACAAATGAAAATTAGCAAGTTTCTTAGGATAGGTTTGATGTTTCATTCTATCCTGACGTTTTTGGTTTGTTGATTTGGTTAGGTTGATAATCGAGATTCAGTGGAGCCTAAAATTACTCCAGATCAAGCTGTGAAATTATGTGACAGAAACTTTGGTATTGGAGCTGATGGAGTGATATTTGCATTGCCTGGCATCAATGGCACGGATTATACCATGAGAATATTTAATTCCGATGGTAGTGAGCCTGAGGTAATTTGCATTTCCTGAGACAATCTTTTCATTTTTCCATGCTTTGGATGTTCATGTTTCTTCAAAATGATTGTGATAATTATATGCCAATTATTTATGCGCTGGGACTTCATGACTATTGCAATTTTTTTCTTAAAATTTCTGCACCAAAAATTAATTTCTTTAGATTTGTTGCTTTCTTCAGAGCATGTGCCCATAGGATGGTTCGGAGGTTGAATAACTAGAAAATTTTCAAGGATGCTTATGGAACTCAAAAAAATTGAAAATAATGGAGTAGACTTGCTGCAAGTAATATTTATGAATCGCTCACTTTTCATGCAGACATTGGAATTCAAACAAGGCTATATTTATCAAGAATTCTAATTTTTGCATGTTCCTAAACTCCTTTTTATCCAACTATAGTTAAAGAAAGTTCTGATTTCAAATTTTCCTTCTATTGGCAAATAAATTGTGAAAAATAAGTTTCTTTTTTGTTTTCCTTTCATTTGCTTAACCCTTACTATATTTCATTAAACAAATAGGGCTTTTGTTTGTAAAATAAATAAGTGGACCAATGTTCACAAGTCTGTTTTTATCTGGTCCTGATGGGTTTCCTTTTCCTTTCTGTTTTTACAGATGTGTGGCAATGGTGTTCGATGTTTCGCTAGATTCATAGCCGAACTTGAAAATTTACAAGGAAAGCAAAGGTACATATCAGTTTTTCTATTATTTTTTAAATTTTCTTGCACTAGCCTATGATTGCCTTTGGAGAATGAACCACCTTGCTGTCTGTTATAATAACCTGTAAGGTTCAACATTTTATATGACATTTGTTGTTCAGAAGTGGTTATGATAAAAACTGTTTTCTCTACTTTTTGATGATGTGCTTATGTTGATGAAGAAATTGCATTGTGTTTTAAGAATTTTAGAAAAATTCTCAAATAATGTTGTGAGTAATTCAGAGTAAATCCTCTATTGAGCATTTTTTTATGGAAGTCAGGGACCTGCAGCATATAGATCTTCTTATATGAAATAGCCCTTTGTTGTGAAACCCCAATACTCCAACTAATTTGTTGATTGTACCAAATATTATTATGTAATGTCTACTAGCTATCGATTGTCCGGAATTGTGATACATCTGTCAGTCATGTTATTTCAAGTGATTGACTGGTTCTAATGTTGCTATTTCTATCAAAATTTGCACTAGAGCACATTGCTGCTGATAAAGTTTTATTTACTGATACTTTTGAAAGGCTAAATAGAGATGTCATCTATTAATTGGTCTTGCAGCTTCACTGTGCATACAGGTGCTGGTTTAATTGTTCCTGAAATTCAAGATGATGGAAAGGTACTCAGAATTTTCTTAATGCAACCGAGTAACTAAGTTATTTTTCTGGTGGGTAGTAAATGTTCCAGTACATACGTTTAGCAGTCAACTTACTTATAGTTGCTTTGTGTTAGAAATGCTTTGCAGCATAAGTAAAATAACTTTTTATCTTCGTTGTTATGATATTAATTACGTGTGTTTGGTTACAATTTCAGGTTAGAGTTGATATGGGAGAGCCAATTCTGAAGGCATCTGATGTTCCTACTAAATTGCCTGCAAATAAAGATCAATCTGTTGTTAGGTCAAAATTAGATGTAGATGGAATAACCTGGAATGTTACTTGTGTTAGCATGGGAAATCCGCACTGTGTCACTTTTGCTACAGAAGCTAGCCAGGTATTTTATCTCCTGAAGACTGTTCTCCGGTTCAATTGTTCAGTGAAGTTCTTATGTGATATAGATTAACATTACATTCTTTTGGCTTGTTATGCAACAGGATTTGCAAGTTGATGAACTAAATTTGGCAGAAATTGGACCAAAATTTGAACACCATGTGATGTTCCCTGCCCGAACAAACACAGGTATCAGTTATACTTTAAATTTAAGCAAACTGCATATGCTATGGTATTGGTTAGTTTATACTTTTGTCAGATTTACCCCTCAAATACACATATGCTTGCTCACAGTTGCACATGGATGACCACTTGCAACAGGAGTATTTTGTGTGACGTAGAAATTATTATCTAGCGTTGGCTTAATAATGCAGGATCTATTAGAAATTATGACTCAAGGATTACAAATTACAATTATCATGCACATGCAAGATTTTTTTATTGTAACAAAATCTGTGATCTTTTGCAGAATTTGTCCAAGTCCTCTCTCCAAAGCACCTCAAAATGCGGGTTTGGGAGCGAGGGGCAGGTTATCATTTATCCATTTCTGTATATGCATTATCTAAATTTTCCTGTACAGTAGTGGCACTATCTTCATTCAAATCCTTTAACCCAGCTGTGATTATTGAATGCATGCAACTTAAAAACAGATTATTTTGTAACATAGATCATCATCGAATAAGATCCAATAAGATGATCCCATTTTTTAACACATTACATTGTTGGCACATTCTCCATCTTCCCTCCCGTCTCAATCATCCGCAACCACTATTCTCTCATTTCCCCCCTCCATCAATAAAAAAAGAAGAAAGAAAAAATTGTAAAAGAAAGAGAGAAACAAACAAAATTATCTGAAAATCTCCACCAGTTCATTACTACTTCGTTTGTCCTTTGTACCTCCACCTCCTCTGCCTTAAAATCTCCCAACATATTCATCAACTTTGCACTTTCCTCAGCCACCCACCTCCTGCTGTATCACTGCTGTCTCCACCTTGGAACTCATCATCTCCACAACTATTTTCACTAGCATACAATTATATTCCTTGAATCTTAATGTGTGTGCATGCGCACGTGCATTAATCTGTATTTGTAAATGGTGGGAGCATGCACTCTGTGTACAAGTATGTCTGTATCATTGATGTGTGTAAATGTGTATTTGTGAGTTTCAATCCATTGGACTCAACCTATGGATATTGATTAGTGGATTGATTTTCATCCGTATTCATTCATATCCAAATTGCTTATCCAGCTTGTGCATATCTATGCATGATTAACTGTTTTTTACTCAGGCTTTTAAATTGCATACTTGGCTCTACATATCATGTTGATCTGTCAAACTGCGCTGCCCCTCTTAGATATTTAACTATAACATTAACCGGGTTGGTCTGCAGGTGCAACACTAGCCTGTGGAACTGGAGCTTGTGCTGCAGTTGTTGCTGCCGTGCTCGAGGGTCGAGCTGGGAGGGTAAGTTTGGAATGGACGTGGTTTGTGGTCTCATTTTATAAGGGTTCATTCAATATAACTTTGATCTGTGCTTTGTAGAGCTTGATAATGATCAATCTGGGTTGTTCTTACTTTTGTTTCCACACCACTCATTGTCTTCTGCTTGTGTTTTTATCTCTTGAAAACAGAGTTGTACTGTCGATTTGCCTGGAGGACCATTGGACATTGAATGGAGAGAAGAAGACAACCACATTTACATGACAGGTCCAGCAGAAGTAGTATTTTATGGATCAATTCCTCTCTAAATCCTTTTATTTTAGACTTGTTTGGGCCATCTTGACTTCTAGAAAACTCGGAAGAAGCTCCCATTAGTTCTTCTAGTGTTGTATGTCTAAGTTTTGCGACGGCAAGGGATGGGTGGGGAATTCTATTTATCCAGTATGGTTGTGCCGCATTTTTCTTTCACTCCTGATGGGAAATACTGTTGCAATTGCGCACTCTTTAGCTCTAGGATTCGTGTTTAAGGGTGTCATTTGACATAGCTCATTTCCATTTTCCATGATGATGATGTCTAATATTTTTATTGGGGTCCAAGGAGATTAGTCTTTCTTTTTCAATACCAACTTCTTGTAATAAATTTTTGAATCCATCTTATGATTCATACTTCAGATTCAATCTGATAATGGTAGCATGATGTCGAAAAATCCATCACGACCAAGAAAAATTTCCGTCCAAAAGGGGAAAATAGGAAGCAGAGTGGTTATAGATGTTTTATTCGAAAAACCAGTTATATTATAAATATACCATTATATGCTTCTTGAGGATTTATTCAATGACACTAGTAGTTTAGTGACATTGGAAAGTATCAAAATATGTGTTACTTTTGGTTTCACGTCCTAAATTATGAATTGGGTACAATAAACTAAAGCATGAAAATCTAAATCATTCTCCAGAATTCTATGTGAAATGCAGTTCCTGCAACAATTTATATATCCACTTGATATTGATATAAATTAATTGTTGCAATTAATTATTTTATAATACCACAAACATTATTCAGTACAATACAATCAACAAATAAAGGCCTGCAACTTGCAAAAAAGTCAACCTTCTGGAGTTATCAAGGCCATATTTTTCTGGGTTTTACTAAACAAGAAGCATCACATCTTAGGTAAGATTGAGGAATTCCATTCAAAATCCTGCTAGTTGTACTTCTTTGACAGACGTTGAAGTGGCATGCACCTCCATCCTTAATTTGAACTTCACAAATTCAAATCAAGTGTTGGGTTTGTCAGAACTTTCATGTACTAATAACTTAATTTTTCCACTCACTAAGTCCATGTTCTTGTTGTAAAACTGATGAAGATAATGTCCCTTTTTGAGTTTCTTGTCATTTGAATAGACCATGTTTGGTTTAGCCAAACATCAATTTTTATTTTATTTTTTATTTTTTTGGTAAATTTTGATAAAAATGAATTAAATATGTGATTGAAAAGTTGAAAAAATTATGGATTTCATAAAATGTGTAGTTTTAAATGAATTTAGGAAAAAATGAATAAGACATTACATTGTTGGCACATTCTCCATCTTCCCTCCCGTCTCAATCATCCGCAACCACTATTCTCTCATTTCCCCCCTCCATCAATAAAAAAAGAAGAAAGAAAAAATTGTAAAAGAAAGAGAGAAACAAACAAAATTATCTGAAAATCTCCACCAGTTCATTACTACTTCGTTTGTCCTTTGTACCTCCACCTCCTCTGCCTTAAAATTTCCCAACATATTCATCAACTTTGCACTTTCCTCAGCCACCCACCTCCTGCTGTATCATTGCTGTCTCCACCTTGGAACTCATCATCTCCACAACTATTTTCACTAGCATACAATTATATTCCTTGAATCTTAATGTGTGTGCATGCGCACGTGCATTAATCTGTATTTGTAAATGGTGGGAGCATGCACTCTGTGTACAAGTATGTCTGTATCATTGATGTGTGTAAATGTGTATTTGTGAGTTTCAATCCATTGGACTCAACCTATGGATATTGATTAGTGGATTGATTTTCATCCGTATTCATTCATATCCAAATTGCTTATCCAGCTTGTGCATATCTATGCATGATTAACTGTTTTTTACTCAGGCTTTTAAATTGCATACTTGGCTCTACATATCATGTTGATCTGTCAAACTGCGCTGCCCCTCTTAGATATTTAACTATAACATTAACCGGGTTGGTCTGCAGGTGCAACACTAGCCTGTGGAACTGGAGCTTGTGCTGCAGTTGTTGCTGCCGTGCTCGAGGGTCGAGCTGGGAGGGTAAGTTTGGAATGGACGTGGTTTGTGGTCTCATTTTATAAGGGTTCATTCAATGTAACTTTGATCTGTGCTTTGTAGAGCTTGATAATGATCAATCTGGGTTGTTCTTACTTTTGTTTCCACACCACTCATTGTCTTCTGCTTGTGTTTTTATCTCTTGAAAACAGAGTTGTACTGTCGATTTGCCTGGAGGACCATTGGACATTGAATGGAGAGAAGAAGACAACCACATTTACATGACAGGTCCAGCAGAAGTAGTATTTTATGGATCAATTCCTCTCTAAATCCTTTTATTTTAGACTTGTTTGGGCCATCTTGACTTCTAGAAAACTCGGAAGAAGCTCCCATTAGTTCTTCTAGTGTTGTATGTCTAAGTTTTGCGACGGCAAGGGATGGGTGGGGAATTCTATTTATCCAGTATGGTTGTGCCGCATTTTTCTTTCACTCCTGATGGGAAACACTGTTGCAATTGCGCACTCTTTAGCTCTAGGATTCGTGTTGAAGGGTGTCATTTGACATAGCTCATTTCCATTTTCCATGATGATGATGTCTAATATTTTTATTGGGGTCCAAGGAGATTAGTCTTTCTTTTTCAATACCAACTTCTTGTAATAAATTTTTGAATCCATCTTATGATTCATATTTCAGATTCAATCTGATAATACTAGCAAGATGTCGAAAAATCCATCACGACCAAGAAAAATTTCCGTCCAAAAGGGGAAAATAGGAAGCAGAGTGGTTATAGATGTTTTATTCGAAAAACCAGTTATATAAAAAATATACCATTATATGCTTCTTGAGGATTTACTCAATGACACTCGTAGTTTAGTAACATTGGAAAGTATCAAAATATGTGTTACTTTTGGTTTCACGTCCTAAATTATGAATTGGGTACAATAAACTAAAGCATGAAAATCTAAATCATTCTCCAGAATTCTATGTGAAATGCAGTTCCTGCAACAATTTATATATCCACTTGATATTGATATAAATTAATTGTTGCAATTAATTATTTTATAATACCACAAACATTATTCAGTACAATACAATCAACAAATAAAGGCCTGCAACTTGCAAAAAAGTCAACCTTCTGGAGTTATCAAGGCCATATTTTTCTGGGTTTTACTAAACAAGAAGCATCACATCTTAGGTAAGATTGAGGAATTCCATTCAAAATCCTGCTAGTTGTACTTCTTTGACAGACGTTGAAGTGGCATGCACCTCCATCCTTAATTTGAACTTCACAAATTCAAATCAAGTGTTGGGTTTGTCAGAACTTTCATGTACTAGTAACTTAATTTTTCCACTCACTAAGTCCATGTTCTTGTTGTAAAACTGATGAAGATAATGTCCCTTTTTGAGTTTCTTGTCATTTGAATAGACCATGTTTGGTTTAGCCAAACATCAATTTTTATTTTATTTTTTATTTTTTTGGTAAATTTTGATAAAAATGAATTAAATATGTGATTGAAAAGTTGAAAAAATTATGGATTTCATAAAATGTGTAGTTTTAAATGAATTTAGGAAAAAATGAATAATAGAAAGTGAGGGTCAAACAGATCTAATATATTCTTCATTGTATGTGTTACATTTATTGGTTAGTTTAGTAGCTTAATTAGCATCAAGTGGTGCTTGCTTTTAATTTAATTATCACACTTTAATCCTTGTACTACTACAAATTAGCAAGTGATTAGACTTTGAGTTAATGGTAAATAGTTTGTCTTTTTAAAATTAAATATTGAATTCATAATAACAAATTTTATTTTTGTATAAGGTTCATGTCCTAATCTTTTCAAAAATAACATTCTCAAAGTCATGGTATGTTTCCTATTTTCATGATCATTTATAAATATTGACTATTAAGCATACTCAGGGGCGGACCTGGGGGAGGGAGGGGGGTTTACAGGGTCAAGTAACCCTCTAGATTTTGAGGGGAAAAAAAGAAAAAATTTGTTTAGCTTCTTTATATATATATAAGGTTTTATATAAATTTTATTTGTGACCCCCTAACCCGAGTCGTCTGGGTCCGCCCTGCATACTGTAGAGATTAGAGTATATTTTAAACAATTTTAGGCAACTTTGGACTCTTGTTGTCGACTTGCATGCATGCCATTGAGAAAGATTAAAGGAAATGCAAGCTTAAGTCGACTGAAATCACTGATTAAATGCTTAATGAGTTTATAATGTAAATTCGAGAATGATTTTTTTCATAAATTAATTTACATTAGTTGCATAAGTTAAGCTTGTGGTGGTGGTTAAAGTCATAGTTTAGCAACCAAACAATTGAAAATTTTCTTGGTTTTTATGTTCGTTATGTGCTTTACGTCATTGCTTTGCTAATTTTGGTGCAACTTTGTTTTTTTATTTCGTATACTATCATGTTTAAATATATAGGAAAAAAAATATTTATTATACACATCACATTAAAAGGCGCCCCTTTAGTGTACGTGAAGTTTTGAAGAGGTTAAAACGTTTTAAGAGTTTGGATTATCTTCCTTAATATTGTCGGACCTTTTGCAATCTGATGTAGCTTGGGGGAATGACCTTGATCTTTGGTCAAATATTGATATGCACCATAATAGCTTCAAGACTTTGGGATTGTTTGTTATAGGTGCTGATCCACACACGTTAAGGGGTCACAATCAAATTTTTAAACGATGGGTAAATTGTAAATGGTAATAGTAGTCCGCAGTCGATAGATTGGTAAAGAGAGACAACGGCATAAAGTTGAGTTTGGAGCTGTCAATTGCATTATATTTTTATAGTGTAGGTTTTAAATTTTGACATTAATTTTAAAAAAACATTAATTTTTTTTTCCTCAAACACTTGGGGGTCAATTGACCCTATATCCCCCCGGGGTCCGCCCTTGGTTTGGTAGGACTTTTAAAAATTCAAAAATTACTTTTGAGATTAAAAAATTACATTTAAACATGTTTGAATAATTTTTTAAAAATATGTTGTCTAACTAGAAGAAGTTATCAAGAAGCGAAGCCTATCAAATGGGCCCCTAATAACCTTCGTGCATTTTAACGTCCTTGTTTGGCCTTTGTTTCTTAGAACCTTTTTTATTTTTATTTTGTTTAAAAAAAAAAACCTTGTTTTAAATCACTTATTTCATTTATCTGTAATTTTTATTAATTTTTTAACCATATATTTTATCAACTTCTATAAAAATCTACAAAAAAGATAATAACTAAAATCGAGAATCCTAATCTTAATGATTATCCTTCTCAACTCCACATCTAGAATGTATTCCATCCTACAAAAATTCAAATGTTTGAACATTGAATAAAAAATAATTGAATAAAGCATAATTTCAAAAAATTAAGTGAACTCAATTTTAACTATCATTTTACACCAACACGAATAAAATTACTAAATGGTTTAACAAATTAAAGAATAAAAAAAATTGCAAGCAAAAAATAAAACAGAGAAAAAGTTATTATAAAGTCTTTTAATTGCAATGAACTAAATGATTGGACTTTACCAAACACTTCGAATCTTCAACAAGTTTTGAAAAATTTACAATTTTAATGCTGATAAAAATACAATAAATACAAAACTCGTCCAACGCACGTGACAACGACTAGTAGTAAGAATAATCATAAATGCCATAAATATGGAACCAATAATGGAAAATCCCATTTTCACATAAGGAAATATTTCATTCTTCCATCTATGACAATATTTAATTATTTTCACACATACACTCACGACATCCACATTTCTCACACACCAAAAGTCATTTCGTTTGCCCTACATACATAAGTGGGTTCTTAGTAGTCAAATACTTCACACTCATTTTATCAAATTCCATTCAAGTTACAAGGTAAGTGATGTTGCACGTGGTTTATATGAACTTGTATTTTGTATTTTAAATTTTGAAATTTGTTTTATGGGCCATATATGTTTATGATAAGAGGGTCGGAGTTTAGTAGCGCTATGCACAGAAATTACTACCACCTATGTTGACAATGTTGGTTGTGTCAAAAAAGTGTTTCTTAAAAAAATGAGTTATTTTTTAAACTGTCCAATGACGTGACATGTTGTCGATAACGTTATCAAAATTATTGTAAATCAAGCATTGTTCCTAATTCATAGGAAGTCCAGTACCACCTAAACAATGATGATCACCAAATTCACTACCCGTAACCATAAAAAAATTAGGTTAAATATACAATCCATTTTCTTGATGCCCTTCAAAACTACTAAAAACCTTAATCACTTCAAAAACATGATGACCTTCATCATCCAAAATACCAAGAGAAATTAAGCCCATATCTCCATTTTTTAAATTCATTTTCAACCACGTATTTAATGAAATTTACCACTTTTATCAAATTTTTTTAATCAAAATTTACCAAAAATCCAATTTCTATCTAAATCAAACAGGGCCTAAATGTCACCTGAGGCCAGCACATGCCTGATATTCAAAAAGGTGTCTAATGATTCCATCATCCTAATGCCAAGAGAAATTAGGCTCCAATCTTCTATAGTTTTGTAACCAAGACTGAATAGGGAACATTCAATCTTGATCTTTGTCTGGATCATACGCAGTCATTAAATGGATACTTTCAATTTTTGTAACTAGGTATAGTATTTTGATCATTTAAGGATTTATTTATTTATTTGTGTGATCATAACATTCCTTCTTAAAATTTCCTTATTTCCCATAATTATAGAATTTTTTATCCTTATCCCTAGACTCTGTCCTAATGTAAAATTTTCTGTTTTTCATTGGGACTCAGTATAAAGTTTGAGGATCTGAGGACCAGATTAGAATATTTTCAATTCTTGAGGGACCAAAATGAAAATTTTTGGAAATCAGATTTAATTGAATGCATGATGAAATTAAGGTTTACTAGTCATGATATAAATTAGTTGTGGATCAGAATGAAATCAATGAGTAATTGCAATATTTGTAAATTTAAGGATCTAGACTACATTTTAGGAAAAATATCATTTCATAATTTGAAGACTTAAATTATATTTTTAAGGATGATTATAATTTGAGGTTTAGAAATATCATTTTAAACGTGGTTTCAGTATTTAAATCCGCGTATGATGTGACTAAAATTTCCTAATTCGATCTTAAGACAGGTTTAGGGTTGCAAACATTAATCTCAGATGAACTCAAATTACTTTGTATTACTACAAGAACATTCCAATTGAAATTGAAATCATCTTGCTCAAAAAATGATCAATCTAAATGATTAATCTATAATATTATAAATGTCCAATCATCACCCTTTATATGATTTTCCAATTGAAAAAAAAAATTATTATAATTAGGTTAAAAGTACCGTTGATGAAAATAAATTCTGAAAAGTTGTGAGTTCATGGTCCACTTCCACTTACTACAATAAAAGCAGTTTTTTTTTTGGATATCCAGGTATCCCAACTTATACCAGACTAAATCCTGGACCCCCAAGACCCTTGCCCCTAGAACCTTGGAGGGGGTAAATCGCGGGTTATGCCTCAACTGGATCACAGGTTCCCCCAATTGCCTGTACACTTCTGCGCACAAGAAACCCTCCTCCACATTGATTGCTCCATACCAAATTTTTTGGTCGCAGGTTCCCACCAGGAATCGAACTCTCCACCCTGCCGCTAGAAACAAGACAATGTTGATTGATTCACCAGTCGAGCTGTGCCCCGGGAGAC